CCCCCCCCCCCCCACACACACACTCCTGCCGGAGTTCCGCTTGCCTATTAACATTTATGTTTTCCTTTCTTTGATGATAGCCTTTCAATATATAATTGTTTTTTGTAATACTGTGCATACATGCGGAAATATCATTTTGATACTTATCAGAGAAAATTCACTAGAAATCTTTTTTCTTTTCTTTTTTTTTAGCACAGATAATAAGGGAACCATTATATTTCGGAACTTTTTTTTTTTCCTTCTTCGTCCCTGACATGAAATGAGTTCCACTTTGGACCAAAAAGAACCTCCACTTCCAGACCTGGCCGTGGGCTTGTCTTGAACCAATAAAACTCATTCATTTTAAAAATCAAGAAACGAAAATTATCGAATGTATCGAATAATTAGGGACAATATCGTAGATAGATCTCGAATAACTTTACTCAAAATCCAATAAACAATCCTACACTTAGGTCAATATAGTGGCGCCATCTATCGTATCCATACTGTTTCAATGAAGTCTAAATCATTTTAAATATATATCTTATTGCGGTGGATTGTTGTTGTTGTTAATCCTAATACCTATTCTCAAAAGAAAATGAAGTCAAAAAAGTATTTCGATTAAAAAGTCAGAACTATAGTTTCTTACCAAAATCGAACCGTGTTTCATAGATTTTTCATTAAGAACTAGTAACTTGTTGAGTCATCTGGAGTTCGATTCTACACGGTGGACAGACCTCAAATAGCCCATTATTTAACTTTGCCATGAAAATCATTAAAAATTAAAAAGAGAAATTCTGATTTCTCTAAAGCTTGTTATTAACGAAAACAAGTTTATACTTCCTTATTACACTTTTTTCATAACTATTCTGACATTAATTACGTAGTGACCTCACGTGAAGTGTATTAAATAGACTAATAAAATATTTCAACTGAAAACCTTTTAAAATATTTCAACCTTTCGCTGAAAGGTTACCAGGAAATTCTTTTTGTTTTCTTAACTTATTAACCAATTACCAAAACATGAATGTGTAACTAGTTGTTCCAACAAACATAAGCGTGTCGGGCCTGGAGTTTGAGAGGTGATGTCACTAAACACGCTTCTTTCAGTTGTGGTCGCGTTATAGAAATAGCAGTCAATCCCTCTACTCACTTAAAAGAGACGGGTAATTCCTCTATTATGGGAAGTGCTGCAGGCTATGTGCCTTCCCTCTGGAAATTAGTTCAAAAATAGGAAGGTTATACTTGAAACCTAGGGGTGTCCGCTAACCTAGCCGTTTAGCCACTGAGCGCGTAAAGTGTTGTTCACGTTACAAATTCCAATTCCAAACACAAAAGTATGAACATTTCCCCGTAGTGAGTACAGCACAGATAGTCCACTGTGTAGCTTTGTGCTTAACTACAAACAAACAAAATTAGAATTTATTAAAAATAATTACTTTATCTTATAAACAGCAAGAAAGTTTACGCTTAAAACATCAGAGTGTGTCACATGAAAAGTAAAAGACAAGCTTCAACAAAGGAAAGTCTGGCCATCAGGTAAGGTTCCAAATCACCTGGCCAGATATCTAACTTAGAGTTCCCCCA